AAAAAAAAAAAAAACAACTCTTGAGGTTACCAGCTCCTACACCTGTTCACCCATGGGACTGAAGCAGTCATCTCATTCACTGGCGATGGCAGGAGACCAACAGAAGCTTTTCCATTAGATTCCTCTTAGATCCTGAGCTCCTTTACAGTGGAGTTATTAATGGTGCAGGTCCTTCTGTTGTTTTGCTTAATCCTATGATCTCGCTGGAAAACAATTTATGTAATCCCTAGGAATCTCAGGCAGGAAATGGGGCTGCCACCTTGCAACACAGCGGAGAAAAGGCAGGAGTCTCTCAAAAAAGTAATGCACAGTTACTGAGTTTTGTCTTTAGTTATCAAGTTGAGCTGAATAATTACTTCTTGAGTAGTTCACACTTCCTACTCGTGAACAACAATAAAGAAATAAATAAGCACAATTGGGAATTTCATTTGGAAGTCTGTTAAGGACATGGAAGTCTCATGTCTGGTACATGTCTGGTACTGGACCTCCTGAGAATTACCTCTTTGGGGAAAATTTCATTGTGCACTTAAGTCATCATGACTTCATATTTTTATCCCCAGAATTATGAAAAGCTTAATGTTCAAGAGAAAGACTTTGAAAATTATATTCTGGCCAGGAGCGGTGGCTCAGGCCTGTAATCTCGGCACTTTGGGTGGCCGAGGCAGGTGGATCACTTGAGGTCAGGAGTTCAAGACCAGCCTGGTCAACATGGTGAAAGCTTGTCTCTACCAAAAATACAAAAAATTAGCTGGGCACAGTGGCATGTGCCCGTAATCCTAGCTGCTGGGGAGGCTGAGGCAGGAGAATTACTTGAAACTGGGAGGCAGAGGTTGCAGTGAGCCGAGATCACGCCACTGCACTCCAGCCTGTTGGGCAGAATGAGACTCCGTCTTTAAAAAAAAAAAAAAAAAGAAAAAAGGAAGGAAAGAAAATTATGTTCCTTGAGCCTTATATCATTGAAAGTTTCTCACGTTAAGTCAAAAGTTTTCTTTTACTTTCAGGAGAAGAAGCAGAAGTTTGACCTGGCAAATGTCTGTGTGCTGAGCTCAGGGGGCAAAACGGGCATGTCTACCCTCCAGCATTTGAGATGCATGAGCTCAATCCAATCACATTCCCTCAACAGCACAATAAAAGACATGTTATGAACCAACTTGAAGGTATTCATCATAGCCATACACCTTATCAATGCAACTCAAGCTGCATCAGCCAGGCTTCCACTGGTAGACAGTATCTGCACAGGTAGTGCACATGCATAAACATGAACACGTAGGTACACAGACAAACACGTAAGTATGCATTTGCAGAAACGGCTGGCTGCAGAAGACAAAACAGCCACTTCAGCTTTGTGTAAAAGAGAAGCACTCAAAAGTCCCTCTGGATTGCAAGACATATCTGCTACAGCTAGGAAGAGAACACATCCATGGCCATGCTTTATTAGGGAAAGACGGAGAGGTGTGCTCATGATTGAACATACTGAGGAGACTGAGCAATTAGAGAAGTGGACAGAAATGTGGTTAGTGGTAGCAACAGGCCCATTCCCAAGAACCAGGAAAACCAATCTGTTACAAAGAGCAGAGTCAGTGGCGAGAGAGACGAAAGGTGGCCAGGCTCGAAGAAGGGTCCACTTACTGACGCTGCCACACACGGCCATGCAGTACTCTTCTGTGTCAAAGTTGTTCCGGTTGCCGCCACATCCGCCGTAAAAGAATGGGGCACACTTCCCTTCAGTCACATCAAAGTACCAGCGGGAGATCATTGCTCGGCATGGCCCCGTCTCCGCTTGTTCAGAGCACACCTCTAATCAGAGGAGATGTGGGGAACCACATTTAGCATGAAAAGGCACTGTCTCTCTGTTCATGTACACACGTTTACTTCTTTTAATCCTCCCAGTGGCAACCTGGACTGGGTTTATTAGGCAGCATCTACCAAACATTTACTGAGGAATTTAACTGCCCACCAGGACTAGAGATTTACCTCTCAGAGCATGCATTCTCATCTGGTTTAATGAGTGCAGGACTCGGTAGTAATAAAAGGATTCTGGCCAAAGGTGAAAAGATCATTTGGCTGCTTTTAAGATGAGTATGAAATGACGGAAGGTGTCTGCACATCAAAACAATTCTCCATTATAAAAAATAAACTTCTCTTTTAAGAAGTCAACTTTCATGTAAGGAAACTGCTTTGGTTATGAAGCGAAAGTTTAAGCCCTCACAAACATCTGATTGCTTTCCTTAACAAATGACTGCCTTAACTCAAGTATAAAATTAATTGCATATATTTTGAATGTTTTCCAGGTTTTGGAGGCTGTCTGTTCATTGACTTTATCTAGAAATGTATGTCATATCTGTAAATGTGACTTATACTCAATGACATTAACTCTAACTTAAGACCATTCATTTGCATATTAAAATATGTACCAATATAAATGGTCTTAACTCCAATTTAAGACCATTTTATTTGTATATTAAAATATGTATTAACATGTTATATTATATATTTTAATAATTTAATTACATATGCATGAAATACATCTATAACAATGTATTAATTCTGCTATTTAATTGATATTTATATATTAAAAATTTGTATTTGAATATATTTAATTACATATGCATTAAGTACAACTATAACAACATATTATTTAATTATGCTACTTAATTGAAATTTATGTATTAAAAATCTGTATTATTTGTGTATTTTGTATATTTACCTGACCCTTGGGCAGTAATGTTGCAAACAATAAAACATAGTCAACCAGCTCTAACTTATTAATACACACCATGCACTGTTTTACGTAAATTAAAACATATCTTACCTGTCAACATGTCTTGCCACCCTCCCCAAGATCGGTTTCACTCACCCGATTACCTCAAAGTCAATCAGTGACCCCTCCAATTACATGTATAAAGTCAACCCTGAGTAGACTTGTAATTCTACCTCCCATGTATATCCCATTTTCACTGGAAGTGAAACAACAGCCCAATTCTCCCTCTGGGTTTGTGCCCTGTCCTTGCTAGGCTGATGCCTTAGCACACACAGATGTCTTCTTAGTTTTACTAACATGACAGAGGAAAAACCACCTTTCTAAAAGATGAAAGCCATGCATCACCCAGAACTTCCAAGTTAGGGATAGTCAACAGACTGATTCTTTTTTTCTTTTTTTGACACAGGGTCTTGCACTGTCGCCCAGGCTGGAGTGCAGTGGCACAATCTTGACTGCAACCTCCACCTCCTGAGTTCAAGTGATTCTTGTGCCTCAGCCTCCCAAGCAGCTGGGATTACCCCTGTACCACCAAGCCTGGCTAATTTTTTTGTATTTTTAGTAGAGACAGGGTTTCACCAGGTTGGTCAGGCTGGTCTTGAACTCCTGGCCTCAAGTGATGTGCCCACTTCAGCCTCCCTAAGTGCTGGGATTACAGGCGTGAGTCACTGCAACTGGTCCTTCAACAGACTGATTCTAGTTAGCCAATCAAAGACAAGGATCCACAATGTCAATACAAATGGGGACTAACTATTGTTTTACTTCCCTACACATGTTGCTCTTGCAGTAGATGCAATAAAGTCCTGGCAAAACCAGAGGTTGCTACCATCATGATGATGTCAACAGGAGGAACAGTCAGCACTAAGCCCAGAAGGTGTCAAACACTCTGCAAGAGAAATGCCCCATGCAAAGAGCACTAAGATGACCTGGCTCTCTTCATGTGGTTTTCAGATGGAAACATGGGTACAAAAGCATCAACCTCGTTATCATCCATCATTAAGGCCATCTCACTCAGTACCGCTGCTTTCAAAGTCCATGTTCCCAAAGCATGTCTTTGATGTTCTGTATACAATAGTCTTGTAGGATGAAAACTAGCCAACTTGTTGACATAAGAATCCCATCTACTTTGCAATTTTATTTATCTTCCAAAATTAAAGGACTGGCACCCTGATTTATTAAAAGTGAACTGGTTCTAGGGGCCATATCCCCTCTAAGTTACTGACAGAGCAGCTTCTGGACTGTGAAGCTCAAAGCCATGCCTAGATGTGAGGACCCCCATCAACTACAGCCAGCAGTGGTCTCTGCTGCCAGAGCTTATCTTCAGTTGTAACAAACATCTACACTTTGCTTTCCTTCTCTGTATTTCCTACACCAATGTGTACGTATTCATGCCACATGCTCTTTAATGTTTCTAAGACACAGCAAAACACATTATTAATCTCTTACTCAGGCAGTGTTAATTCCAACAAGACTTCAAGGCAGCAGTGCCTCCTAAGCCTGCACTGCGCCGGGAATTGGCATTGGGATTGCAAGCACTGTGGCAACTGCTACCAAGGGAGGCACAGAATCCCTTCACCCCATAGTCACAGGAGCATTGGCAACAAAATTCACCGTGCCTTGGCAATTTATGCTGACCCTCACATTTTGGCATTTAAAAAAAGTATCATCTTAGAGTACCAAATATGTGTCTTCTTATAGATGTGTGTCACGGGCCTCACAGTGCACATCATGGCTCTGTAGATGCACAAACCTTGTCTTTATGAGTCTACATATTACATACAAGTGGTAGAGTTTTGGGTGGGTGCAAGTCAAGTAATGGGATAAAAGAATGATGATCGAAGGAGATGGTTCATGATAAATATGCGCCCTTGTGAGTGACCTCGCAACAATTTCTTACTTATGATAAAGGCAAAATCTCCCCAGTCCAGAACCTAAATGACATTATATTAACATCTTCCTATATCATTAGTAAAACACAATGCCACATTCATTTTTATTTTCTTCTGCCTCATTCTGTAACAACTATGAAACCGTTTGTTATAGCTAATTCGTAGAAACCAGGCCAAATGAGCCCCAATCAACTAGAACAAGCATTCAGAACTCAAAATCCATTTACATGTTAATTAAGTAAATAGTATAAGCTACACGTTGAGCCTACAACTCTTGCTGGAGTCTCCAGCTTTAAGAGTCTTAACTCCTTCCCTTCATAAAGGCCAAGAAGAGTGAGATAATCCCTATTTGGGGAGTGTTGCTTGGTTCTCCCAATCCTGTTAGGCGTAGTTGGTGCTCTTGACTTTGAATGGCCCCCAAGAGTTTCACGGCCTTGGGGGAGTCCAAGTGGGCATCACGGGCAATAGCAAAGGATCCCACAATACTCAAATACAAAAGGCTCTCTGAGATAATGTGGTCAGGAATGGGTGTATTAGGTGTAACACTGTATGTTAATTTAATGCCAAATACATAACGTATGGAGAAGAGGTATGTGAGGCTGGAAGAACAGGACTGACAGTGTGCCTTTGTTACTTCTGAATCTCTAAAAGACAGCTACCTTGTCCGACTGGTTCTCAACTGCTGACATGGAGGAGGAGCAGACAGGCCTTCTCTTAACATGCAACCCCTCTCCTGGTGAAAAGAGCTTCTCGTTATAATTCTCCCAATTGTCAGCAACCCTGAGTCTCCATCACCTCCCCTTCCCAACACTTTCCCTCAGGGATATAATGAGAATATCAACTTCCCACAGCAGTAAAGCTGATTTCAGAGAGGACTGGGAAAGGAATGGATAACGTATCCTCCATCACTCATAATTATATTCCCACTCTACTACGGGGAAAGGGAATACAACTGCTTGTTTTCTCTGACCTTTTTGCTAACCCTTTATTATTCCACAACAATTTTCCATGTGGTAGAAAAGAGAATCTTAGCCTACTCTGGGAGAAGCTGGGACTGAGGGGAGTGTCAGCACCAGGGAAGTATGATGCTAATGCTTTTACACAAAGTATGAATAGGCACACAAAAAATGGCCAGTGCGTCTCAGAAGTGAACATGGAAAAGCAGCAGCACAGACTTAGGTTAAAGCTGTGTTAAGGGATTAACGTCAACTTCATAGACGTGATACTGTACTGAGTGAAGACTATATAGGGTCTCTTTGTATTAATTCTTTTGGTTTTTTTTTGAGACGGAGTCTCGCTCTGTTGCCCAGGCTTCAGGGCAGTGGCACTATCTCCACTCACTGCAAGCTCCACCTCCCGGGTTCATGCCATTCTCCTGCCTCAGCCTCCTGAGTAGCTGGGACTATAGGCGACCGCCACCATGCCCGGCTAATCTTTTTATAATTTTTAGTAGAGACGGAGTTTCACGGTGTTAGCCAGGATGATCTCGATCTCCTGATCTCATGATCCGCCTGCCTCGGCCTCCCAAAGTGCTGGGATTACAGGCGTGAGCCACTATTCCCGGCCTGTATTAATTCTTACAACTGCATGTGAATCTACAATTGTCTCACAGAAAATATTTTTAAATTTTTTTTCTTTTTTATTATACTTTAAGTTCTAGGGTACACATGCACAACGTGCAGGTTTGTTACATATGTATACACGCGCCATGTTGTTTGCTGCGTCCATCAACTCATCATTTACATTGGGTATTTCTCCTAATGCTATCCCTCCCCCAGCCCCCAACTCCCTGATAGGCCCTGGTGTGTGATGTTCCCCACCCTGTGTCCAAGTGATCTCATTGTTCAATTCCCACCTACGAGTGAGAATATGCGGTGTCTGGTTTTCTGTCCTTGTGATAGTTTGCTGAGAATGATGGTTTCCAGCTTCATCCATGTCCCTGCAAAGGACGTGAACTCATCCTTTTTTATGGCTGCAGAGTATTCCATGGTGTATATGTGCCACATTTTCTTAATCCAGTCTATCATTGATGGACATTTGGTTTGGTGTCAAGTCTTCGCTACTGAAAAGATTTTAAAAAGCCCACATTAAAAAAATAATATAGGAAGTCAGGCATGGTGGCTCACGCCTGTAATCCTAGCACTTTGGGA